AAAAAAAAAAAAAAAAAAAAAAAAAATATAAGAACTAGATAACAAAAAGCCTGAGCCATTAGGCCAAACAGTTTAAATACTATTAAGCGCCTGTGTGTTTGAGTCTGAATGGCTGCTGGCCAAGGCGGGACTGGATGTAACTCCGACTACACCTGCCTTAATAGATAGAATCAGAACTGCTGACGGGAAAGACATTCATGACAGGAAAAGAATCCCATTTGTGTTGACAAGAACCTATAACAAACATTCTTTTAATTAGTAAATAAATTAATTAAAGTAGTGTGTGTGGGACATGCTCATGAAGATCAGAGGGCAACTTGTTCAGAGGTGATCCTCTTTTCTACCTGAATAAGAAACCCAGGTTAGGTTGCCAGTCTCAGAGGCAAGTACCTTTACCCACTGAGGAATCTTGCCTATCCACAAAATATACTTCTTTAATGTAGTGGAGAATGGGTCCAAGGACCTTACAAAGGACCCAGGTTGGAGTTCTAGCACCGGTATCTGGTGGCTCACAACTTTCTATATTAACTCCAATTCCAGATCATCTCATGCCCTCTTCCAGCTGTGTACACCCCCATGTTCATGGTATACACAAACAGGCACGTGTACATAAATATTGTTTTTCAAGACAGGATTTCTTGTGTAGCCTTGGGCTGTACTCTAAGTTGCTCTGTAGACCAGATTGGCCTTGAACTCAAGAGATTTGCCTGCCTCTGCCTCTCAAGTGTTAGGATTCAAGGCTTATATCACTACTGGAAGGCAACATAATTAAAAAAAAAAATTGTTTATATCTGCATGTGTGTGGTTGCCTAAAGAATCCAACAAGCATCCTTAACTGAGCCATCTTTCCAGACCCCAAAATAGGTTTTGTCTCTGTGTAGCCCTGGCTGTCCTGAAACTAGCTCTGAACACCAGGCTGGCCTCAAACTCAGAGGTCCACCCACCTCTGCCTCCAGAGTTCTAGGATTAAAGGTGTGTGCCATTTCACCTGGCAAGTGGATAAAACGCTTTAAACAGGGGGCTGCTGAGTTGGCTCAGCAGTTATGAGAACTTGTTACTCTTGCAAAGGCCCCTGAGTTCAATTCCCAGCACTACATGGCAGCCCACAACCATCTTCAACTCAAGTTCTAAGAGATCAGAACTCTTCTGACCTCTACGGACAATAGGCACACACATAGTACACACACACTCAGGCAAAATACTCATTTATGTAGCTAGACGTTTCTGTGTCCCAGCCGGCCGACAGTCGGGACAAATGTCTCCCACTTGCGTCCACCAAGCAAACACAGAGGCGTCTATTAATTATAACTGCTCAGCCATTAGCTCAGACTTATTACTGACTAGCTCTTACACTTAAATTAACCCATAATTCTTATGTTTAGCCATACAGCTTGGTACCTTTTGTCAGTTCTGCCTTCATATCTTGCTTCCTCTGTGTCTGGCTAGTGACTCCTGACTCTTCCCAGAATTCTCCTTGTCTGCTTATCCTGCCTATACTTCCTGCCTGGCTATCAGCCAATCAGTGTTTTTATTAAACCAGTGTACAAAAGCATTCCACACTATATACACATGAAACAAAATTAAGAAACCTAAAGACATTTTAGAGTGATTCTATACGCATGGGTGTTTTACCTGCATGTGATGTTTGTGTACCATTGTATGCAGTGTCTAATGAGATCATTAGAGGGTACTGGATCCCCTGTGACTGAAGTTAAAGATAATTCTGAGCAACTGTGTGGGTTGCTGGGAATTAAACCCAAGTCCTTTGGAAGAGCAATCTGGGTTAACCTTAATTGTTACTAAGCCATCTCTCGAGGCCCCTACCAAAAAAAGAAAGAAAATGCTGAAACATAAAGGTGTTCATCATCTGCACTTAACTGTAGGTACAGAACCAATGAGTTCAATTAAAACAGAATAGTCTGAGAGTTAAGGAAGAGGAACAATTTAACTGCAGATGTGTACCTGAATGTAGAACACTAAAAATTAGGTTGGAGTAAAAGACTCTGGCAAAGATGCTATTAAAACTTTAAAACATTGATTTGCTCTATCAACAAAACATAGGTAGCAAAGACCATTACAAAAATAACCTACAAACATCTCCTTCCTGTAGTCTGCCTTGAGGATTCCCCTTTTCTATACCAAGCCACTAAGTTGAGGCCACATTGCTATTGAGCCCTTCGATTCAGGAATGGTGTCTGCGTGCGTTGGGGGGTGGGTGTTAATGACAGTACAAGGCTCTATGAAGCTACTGAGTATCTTTCCTGCCAGCACTAGGCACATGAAGTCTACAAGGTCTATTTCTTGCTGACAAGAAGGTTCTCTCAACACCTTAGCATAAACAGTGTGTGTATGAGGGGAGGAGGGCTGTGCTTGAACTTTTTCCTATCTTCTCTCCCTGAAGTACACTGACTTCAGGGTCAGAAGTCAACATTTTCCTTAGCAAGGACCCTCTGGATAGGTTATGCTTCCTGCTAGAGCAGCTGTGTCTCAACCTGTTGGTCTGACCCTTTTAGGGGGGTCAAATGACACTTTCATAGACGTTGCCTAAGGCCTTTATGTGTGGTGAAATTACAGTTATGAAGTAATGATTTTATAGTTGGGGGTCACCATAACATGGGAAACTGTATTAAAGGGCAGCAGCATTATGAAGGTTGAGAACCACTGTGCTAGGTATCCTGGACTCTGTACCTTCTGATTGTCCATGACTGGGAGAGTATATTCTCTAATATACATGCCACAAAGAGAGAAGCAATATAGCTTTCTCATCATCAACCAGTCAAGTGGTTGATACCAGGGTAGTCACAAAGTAGTAGTCAGTGAATGGTAGCTCTTTATGGAGATAGGCAGAGCTCTATTTGCTCGCTCACAAACCTACATGCCACACCCACTTAGCTTCTCTGGCAGAGCTTTCCTATGGCAGCGTTATGTCCATGCACTTTGGGGTTGATGCTCACCCATAGCACAAATTCTGTGTGAGTGGTCAGAAGCAGTGTGCATCTGTAATATTCCAAGGGCAATCTTAGTTTTGTTCATATCAATGTCTTTGCAACTTTCGTTTCCAGCCAGCAACACCTCTCTCAGACTATTCTCGGACATTCCCAGGCCTGGGATGTGGTTCTATGAATGTCATCTTCTTCATGAGCTGAAATACCCTTGCCCACACCAAGTATAAATAACACTGAATGAACATGAGACACCTTAAGGTAAAAGGTTCCAAAGAGCAAATTAATGAATGAAAGATAATGGTTCAAATTGTTTTATTTCCATTTTTAACACTAGCAGGAGTCCAAAACAGACTGATATCCATGAGCATAGTTTAAATGTAACAAAGAGAGTTAAACTATATACATTAAAGAAAAAGGAAAGGGATTTTTTTTCTCTATACCAACCTTTTCCTAGTGGTGCAGTTTCTGATTAGTAGAACTAAACACATTTTTCCCAATTTAATTTAGGATGAAGTAATAGAACTTTTATGATCAACTTCATAAACTGTCTTTAAGGAGAAAATGAATTTTAAGTGGGTGTCACCATATTTACCAGTGAACTGGCTGCATGGTCACCTTGGCTCTTTGAAGTCTGGCTATCATAAGAACTAACAAGAGCAAGTCCATGAGGCCCACAGGGAACTCAATGGCTGTGACATCCAAGGGGAGGGCACACACCACACATCACAATGATGAGAGCTAATGCTCCTACCCTCTGAATCCATGTAAAAAAATTATTACTCTCATTCAAACTAACTGGAAGTCAAACAGTTTAAAAAGTCAGAATGAAGAATAAAACTCTTTTCTTTTCACATAGAGGAGGGACACTCCTTCAGCTCCATTTAAAGTGAATTCTGTGCTGAGTCCCTGCTCCTTCAGAATAGTAAACTCAAAGTCAGTTATTGCTAGCAAAGCTCCAGTGGTCCCTTTCCCACCCACCTCAAAGATGTTTCACACAAAAAGGCTATTGGTTTGGCTAGAAGCCCTCTGAGGAAGTAGTGTGGAGGTGGAGGCAGGCTGGCACTGAAGGCCTATCCTCTACAAGCCACCCTGTGCCTGGTGTCTCCAGGGGCAATTTACCACCTCACTGCCTCGAGAGCACCAGAGGCTCCCATACATATGGAGTGGAGCAGAGATTATTATGTGGTCCCATGGGGAGGAAGAGATACCATGCTTTGCTGACCAAAACCTACAGAGCAGTCAAAAATCTAGAGGATCAAAGCCCAACTGGCCAGAAGAGCAGCTTTGGAAATATCTATCTACTCAAGGGGCATGGGAAAACCAGGGTAGTGGCAGGTTGAGTAGGGCAATACCTCTGAAACACAGGCAACAGTGACTTGGGCAAAAGCATGGAAATGAAGAGCTGATAAGGCCACTGTTACTGCTACCACCTCCTGCTATCTATGCTCGGGCAGACATTAGGCAATGGGAACTGAAAAACTGATGGTTGGAGAGCACTGTAGAGCACACAGGACATATCTTAGCAGAAAAGAGAGGATACTAAAAAACTTGCTTGTCCTATTGGCCTTGAATGATCTGTGCCAGGCAAAGAACTCTGGAGCATGTGTAGGGTTCCTGAGAACAGTTGGTGAACAGAGATGGGGTGGGATGGGCACTGCTCCCATAGGCAACACTGAGCTGAGGACACTAGCAGTGCTACATCTTCCGGATTGCTGAAGAGCAGGTGAAGAACGGGCTTTATTGCACTTTCTCATTCTTAGGAAACATGGTTGCCCTGCAGAGGGTCTCTTGATTTGCAGAAAACACTGCACATCAATGATAAGGTGCAGGCAGAATCACAGATCACCTCTGCTCTAAAAGAAAAATAAAAGTCCACCAGCTGGGCTTTTCAGGGATAGCTTCTGTACTGGGATCCTTGGGCTGGATGGACCGTGTGTGGCCAGGTCACTGTGTGGCAGGCAGAATAGCTAACTGGCAGATGCCTTGGGAAGGTTCTGCACCCAGAAGAGTTGGGGCAAACATTCCCAACAGGGAAACTTCTTGGCCAACATGTAAGCTCCATAAAGAGGCTGGAGCCATGATACTCAAACTCCAATATACCTGACTCCTTTTCTCCTACTCCTGGCTCAGAAAACCCAGAGGAGCAGAGATGCTGAGCTGACCTGGGAGGATCCCTGGATCCTGCTCCATGGCATCAAACTGGAGAAAACAAAAGGATCTAAGGGGTTGGAAAACAAAATAGCAGTTTACATCAGACATTGATTTTTAAAGTCTTTTTGAGCTCAGGAAACTGGAGGCAGATACCATGCAGAAAGGCCAGCCTGGCTGTCTGTCCATTGGTCTATCCTGAGCAGTTCTGAACATTTCATATATAAATGGGGTGGTACCGTTTATGGTTGATCTTTTTCCTACAAGTTGGGCAAGTGTTAGCATTCTTAAGGGAATCACGGAGGCACTGGCTACAGAAGACGTGGCCACATTCTGTAGAAACAATGAGGCGCCCATTCTGCACAATCTAGAAGACATTAAAAAGGAACAGCTTTAAAGTATCCCTTGTCACCAAGAACCCTAACCCAAGCATCACTGAGGCCAGTGAAAACAAAGGGGCAGGGTTACAGCAGAAAAAGCAGAAGCAGCCTATATAACAACCTCAGAAGCAAATGCTGCCTCTGTGGAAGAGACTGTCGACAAGACAGAATTTTCCCAGCTGCATCAGCACAAAGGGGTTATGGGCAACCTTTACAAAAACCAGCAGCTTCTAGTTAAGGCTACGGTGGGAAACATGAATTTGCAAAGGCTAAAGATAAAATGTATAGGGCCCATAACCAACTGGTGCAATCTCCTTTGTAATTAGCCTTTGTGATAGACAGGTGTCAAATCCCACAGGAGACACAGATCTTCCAAGTTCTTTTTAGTGAAGTAGGTAAAACTTACAGGAGATACAAGTAGGTTACTTACCTCAGAGTATCCATCCATGCAGATCGGACAACTGACAGTACCTGAGGGCCTAAAATCACAGTGGCCCACATCAGTTTCTAGGTAAACTCAAATATTTGATTACATCCTATAAAGTAGCTTCATATATGCAGCCCATATCTTCTACCAAATCAATCCTCTCACTTCTGCTGAGTTAAGACAGGCACACAAAAAATTTGAAGATAAAATTAATAGTTTGAGCCTTTAATCCCAGCACTCATGAGGCAGAGCCAGAACTCTTGAGAGTTCAAGGCCACCCTGGTCTACAGAGCGAGATCCAGGACGGGCACCAAAACTACACAGAAAAACCCTGTCTCAAACCCCTACCCCCACCCCAAAAATGAACAGCTTGAAGTGTTGGGCTGGAATGACCATGAAAAGGGAGATGAAACAGAAGAGGTCTTGAAGAAGAGATATGGACAACTAGGCCCACCCACCTCCTTTGCCTCCAGCACTCCTCCTAGTGTCACCTGTAACACAACCCGGCCACTCTGGGTATGTCTGTCTCCTGATACAGCTGTCTGTCTGTCCATTGGTCTATCCTGAGCACACAGCTGAGTCCAGCCCTGCATACCAAGTACGCTTGGCTTTTTGGCAGATACTTGTTCTAGAGCAAGAGCTTATATACCTGCCGGCAAGTGCAGCATCTGTATACCCTGGCCTCCACCCAGCACAACAGGAGCAGAGCACATTACCTGAGTCCTGTAGATCCTTCATCCTTGCCGCTTCGAGGAGTATGGGTAGTCACATACACATCTTTGTCTCTAGACAGTTCCTCATCATCACTGCTCACCACACAGCTATCAGCATGGTCTTGGCGCAACCTCCTCCCATTTCTTCTTGGTCTTCTCCTTTCTAAGGAAAAGCCACATTTTCAGCCATCTTCACCATCCTACCCTAGTGTCTCTGAAGACCCTCCCTCCCCTCGAGACCTCCAGAGAGAAACTCCCACCATACTAGCTCCACCCCAAGAAGTCCTGCCCAGGAGCAGAAGCTACTCATTTGCCTTCTCAGGAGAGAAGACTCTGACATCATGGGCAGAGATTTTCAGTAAAGCCAACAGGTCTAACCAAAGCCTGCAATGCTGTGGCATTTATTCACAACAATTTTCTTTAAACCCAGGGAAAAAGGAAATGAAACTACTCACCTTCAACAATCTGAAGAGGGGGGAGAAAAAGAGAGTGTTATAAACATTCTGACATTTTAACTGATAAAACACACAGCTTGCCTTCCAATATATATATGCCCGACTCTCATGGATCCCGTGGGGCTCCCAGTCCTCCCTAGGGAAAGGAAATGTATAATTCTCCAGACCAATGTCTCCTACGAGCCAATATGCTGGATCTTACCCAGCCCATATCTGGGAGCCTGTACAAGACGAGAGGTAGGGTTATTGTCTGGAGGAAGCTACATTCTGTTCACAAAAACAGAGGCCTAGCTCATCCCACTGGGCTGAGTCAGAAAACAATCAGCAATGCTCACTGCACCTTTGGCCAACACAGCAAATGCCAATGACAGAACCGTTGCAGGGTTTGTGCTACTGGATGTTATAAAAAAGATCAACTGGGTATTAGCTTGAGTCAGTCTTTTTAACAAGAACTGGACAAACACTTGTTTGGTGGCTTAGAACATACATTAATATAGCTGAACATGATCTTAGTTTCTCATCTACTTACTTTCACCTTCAAAGTGCTGGGTTAGAGGTATGTATCACCACACCCAGGTTGTACACTGACAATTTCTGCCAGTTCAACTCCAGTCAATGCTACACTGTGGATAAGGGGAACATTCATGCCAAGGAGAAATGGCTGTATGTTTTCCTTTCCTTTTCATCACACCAGAGGCACCATTTTTGAAAAGAGCAAACTGTGAATGCCCCAAGGTCCACTCCTGTGCCACACTCTCATACCCTCCACTTGGACTCCTTTGCAGCAAAAATTTTGGCCCTAGTCAGCTGTGGTGGTGCAAGTCTTTCATACCAGCACTCAAGAGGCAGAGGCAGGTGGATCTCAGTGAGTTCCAGGCCAGCCTGATGTACAAAGTGAGTTCCAGGCCAGCCACCACTATAAAGAACAACCCTGACTCGGAAAAAAAAACCAAAAAACCAAAAACCAAACCAAACCAAAGATCAGTGGAAGAGCACTTTCACAGCTTGTGTAGAGCCCCCAAATTCAATTCCCAGTACCTAGTGTGAGGGATTCTCACTGCTTAAATTTTAAAATTTCTCTTAACTCTTTTGAGTCTTTGGACTCATCTAGGAGTTTGAACAACACACAAGAATCTGCTTACAGTTTAGTCTTAACAGGGCTCAGGACGTATTGAAAACTTCCCCCAAATCAGGTGTTCAGGAATTCCTATTCTAGACATACAAAGGCCACACTAAGGCTCAACCAGGGTACTCAGTGTGCCCATTCTAACAGCTTTTGGTGAAATCAGCAAGTTCACTTCAATGACCCACCTCTTACTATGCTCCAGTAGGAGTCTAAAGTCAACCTGAAGACAGTTCAAAATCCCTAACATATATGCTTGTCCATGTCTTTAGTTAATAATTTAATGGCCTTTGATGATTCATTACACTCAAAAACAAATGGAGATTGACTGGGGAAAAGAGCTACCAAATACAGACAATTCTTTATGGCTGGGACAAGCATGAGGTACTTTCTGTAACAAATCCAACACTAACTCTGAAACAAGAACCCAAGCCTCTTGTCTCCACACTACTATCATTGGAATTTTCTCTAACTTCCTGCCCATTCAGTTACTGTCAGGACAGTTCCCTCATCACCACTATTCCTATTCCAGGCTCACTCAAGGACTCCACTCATTGCCATCCTTACAACGTTTCTTTTTTCTTTTTCTTTTTTTTTGGTTTTTCGAGACAGGGTTTCTCTGTGTAGCTTTGCGCCTTTCCTGGAACTCACTTGGTAGCCCAGGCTGGCCTCAAACTCTCAGAGATCCGCCTGCCTCTGCCTCCCGAGTGCTGGAATTAAAGGCGTGCACCACCACCGCCTGGCCCTTACAAAGTTTCAATAGGTTAATATGGAATGGGGCAGTGCTAGATTAGCATGGAGCCTAAACCAAGGATGTGGAAAGGCAGGAAAGCCCAGGGAAGAAACCTGTGTAGCAAGAGCAGTCTACGAGGCCAGCCTAGACTACAGAGGATCCAGGAAAGGTGCAAAGCTACACAGAGAAACTCATCTCGAAAAACAAAAAAAGAGCAGTCTAGACAAAGGCACAGGAGGGGAAATAGTGATTTGACACCCAGCAAAAGATCACTTTCTTGGAGGTAGAATCCCAGCTCCCTTGTCAGGACCTGGCCTGGTACATTATGGGTAGATGTTGAGTTGTTAAGAAAAGGGATTTGGGGCTTTCTGAGCCCTTTCCCTGTTACCAGCCCACTTCCATCCTCAGGAATGCTTTCCTTCAATAAACTGTGTTTATTTCTATTACGCTGACATAGGGGAAAAGAGGGAGGAAGAAAAAGGATTTGGTGCCACTTTCCAGCATTAGCAACTGGAATGTGGCTTTAGCTAAGGTACTAAATTATGCTCTTTATAGAACTTCAGGAAGTTGACAGGAACTAACAACAAAAGTCAATGTTTTTACAGAGGAGGCTACTTACAATTAAACCTGTTCCTGTTTATTTCAAACAGTTCTAATCCATTTCCAGAAGAGCCATTGCTTACATGGGAACCAATGTCCCTGAATTCACCAGTCTTTGTGAGGATGCCAGAGATTACATCAGGACAACCTAGGGATTTTTTTTTTTTTTTTTTTTTTGATTTTTCAAGATAGGGTTTCTCTGTGTAGCTTTGCACCTTTCCTGGAACTCACTTGGTAGCCCAGGCTGGCCTCGAACTCACAGAGAGTGGCTCTGCCTCCCGAGTGCTGGGATTAAAGGCGTGCGCCACCACCGCCTGGCCAACCTAGGGATTTCTAACTAAAACCATACTATCTTTTCTTTGGCAGCTCCATGCTATCACATTTTCATTTTCCCTTAACTACATAACCCAGGAACATTGCCCATCAAGGGTTTAAGACCAGAGGCATGCACCACAACACCTGGCTCCTGGTTACCCACATCTTCATTTTGTTTCTTTCCGAGACACAGGGTTTCTCTGTGTATCTCTGGCTGTTTTGGAACTCACTTTGTAGACCAGGCTGACTTTGAACTCAGAGACCTACCTGTCTCTGCCTGCTGAGTGCTGGGATTAAAGGTATGTGCCACATCCGGCTTCTGTATTGCTTCTCAGTAAAACCTTTCTCTCAAAGTTTTAAACAAATTAGAAAACAATGTGGTATGTCTTTGTTCTGGAAGTTTCTTGCTAGGCACTCACTCAGAATTTCAAACCTCAGTTTGAGACAAATGGAAGATTAGATTACTAACACTTCTGTTCCCTGTCTGCTGTCTTTTCTGAGTACCAACTGCTACACACTTGTCCAATGCTATCCAAGGTGATGGTTCAACCTCTATTCAACAGCTTCAGTTCTGGCACACTGTAATCAAAAGGTGTTTAAAATGAATAGCAAACTTGTCCTTAAGATGCTCATCAATTAGTTGACCAGATCCAAAAGACACATGGAGGTAGGATGTATGTGTGTGTGTAGGGGTGTTCCAATACCATGGAATAGGTCTATCAGAAGTAACTTCTAATAACTCTGCCTTAGTTCTAGCAGGATATACATGGAATACACAGTCTCTCAAATTCTGTCCTCCCTGGAGTCATAAAAGAGCTGTGACAGCAGGTGTTAGATAGACTAGTTAGCTGCTTCCCTGGAGCCATGTTTACTGGTAACTATTCCTGAAACCCAATGGCAGCACAAAGTCAATATTCCCAGTTCCCTCCAGGTCAGAGGTATAAACATACTGCTAACTGCTGCACTTCATGCAAGCAAGGCATCCAAACAGGTCTCTCTTAATAATACAATATAGTACCAACACTGGCAGCTTATCCCATTTCAAAGAGGCATGTCCAAGTTTATACATTTCAAACTACAGAACTAGAACTGCTGCCGTAGAAAGGCCAAAAGTCAAGCAGATCTAGTCCATAGGAGACAAGAGCCACAACAGGTGCTTTTCCTGACACATTTCTCATTAGGGGCTCCTGTTACTGAATACAGGACTTTCCCTTCACAATTACTTGATGTGTATGGATGTTTTGCCTTCAGTGTTCCTGATGCCAACAGAGCCCAGAAGAGGGCACTGATACCTTGGAACTGGATTTACAGCTGGTTGTGAGCTGCCCTGTGGGTGCTGGGAATTGAACCCAGGCCCTCTGGAAAGGCAGGCTCCTTAACCTCTGAGCCATCTCTCTAGTCCCTTTCACAATCTTCCCAACCTGACCAGTAACCCAGGCTTCAGATGCAGATATGGGCCAGGGACTCCTGCCCAAACCAGCCAACTTTTCCTCAACTGCTTACCACAACAGAATCATTGTGAGTCAGATCCACAACCACAGGCTCCAAAGATTCACAGGTGAGGTCCACGATTTCATCTCCAGCTTCAAAATAAAGCAATTCAACAAGTGTTAAGTAAGATAGGGCTGCACTCCTCAGGCTTGGTCCACATTACAAACATGGTAATAAACTTGTGTCAAAGGATGAAATCCGTACACACACAATATAAAAAACATCCATACCAACTCCCTTTCAAAAACAATAACCAAGTGCCCAACTTTCTTAAGTGGGCTATATAGATTTATTGAGGTCCAGAGGTGTACATGTGGGGACAAATGTCTGAGTGGTTTCATCCCACCCACACAATCATGCTCAAGCATCACAATTTCATTAATTAGGGAAGGCATGCAAAAACCACTTACAACTATTTTTTCCTGATTGCTATTAGCATTTAAAAAATATGAGATTTAGATCCCCATGCCCCACAGGGTTTCTCTGTGTAGCTTTGGCGTCTTTCCTGGAACTCACTCTGTGGCCCAGACTGATCTTGAACTGGGATTAAAGGCATGCGCCACCAATGCCCGGTAAGGTTTAGGCTTTATAAACAGTATGAGTAACACATTCTAACTTGTTTTATCTGCTTCTGCTTGTATTAAATTTCCCAGTGGTAGGTGTAGTGACACACACACATCTTTGATACTAGCCCTTGGTAGGCAGAGGCAGGCGGATCTCTGTAAGTTTGAGGCCAGTCTGGTCTGCAGAATGAGTTCCAGAATGGCCAGGGCTATCCAGAGGAACCCTGTCTTAAAAAACAAGAATAAAAAGAGGCCAAAGACAAACAAACAAACAAACACCAAAAACTTGTCTGTCTGCCTGCCTCTTCCCCACACTTATATACACACAAAAATACAATGTACCAATTGCCTCTCACTCTTCATGAAAACAAATGGCTACTACTTAATGCTTCATAGACCATAATTTAGGAGTCATTCTTTTTTGGTAGATACAACTGGTTCTTCCAAAAGAAACACCCTAATGGGCTGCCTGTGCATACCACCTGGCAAAGGTGACAGAATTTCCAACAGCATGACAAGTGCCTCATTGGAAGCAGCTGGATCCTTCTAAACCCTGAGATTGAGTCCATGTGTGTGTTTAGTGTTACATCTAAGAAAAAGACCTCCTTTGGGAATAGAATTCCAGAGCCTTAAATCTGTAGGTGAAGAATAAAGGTTCTGAAGGATTCACTGTAAAAAATCCAACCGAGACCAAACAGAAAACACCGAGAAGTCCAAGAAACCTATCTTACATGAAGTAGCTTCTTTTTAACTCTAAGATGGTTGAAAAGTTCCTACTTGCCGGTACACACACATTGTATAACCCCTTCGTCGTTTTTTTCTTTGTAGTAGTGCTAAGGGGTGGGTAAGCAATGGCTTTGCACATTAAACAAGTGCCCTTCCACATTGATCTGTGTCTACAGCCCACTGCTTCTCTTTAAATTATCAGTTTTTGGAGCAATGAGGTGGTGGTGCACATCTTTAAACCCAGCACTCGGGAGGCAGGGGCAGGTGGATCTCTGTGAGTCAAGGCCAGCCTGCTCTACAGAGTGAGTTCCAAGACAGCCAGGACTGTTAACAAAGAAACCATCTCTAAACAACAACATTTAAAATATCAGTCTTGGGCTTGAGTTATAAAAAGTAACAGAGCAAAAGGGTTTGATCCAAGCCATCTGACACTTTCCTGAGCAGGCAAGAGAAAAAAATCCTATCTGGCCTCTTCCCAAACCAAGCTACAGTAATGATAGCTCTATTGACAAGCTTGCCTTCTATAGGAAGTTTTGTCTTAATGAATACCAGAAGAGGAAACTCAAGTATTTCACAAAGCTAAACATCGTGAAATAACTGAGACACGTGGCTACTTCAAAACCTATGAAGAGACCACAATACCATTACTCATTGTAGCTATAAGCTGCATAGGTAAGTCTAAGATTATACATACATATAAAGAAAGTACAAGAGCATCCAAAAGCCAATATTTTTATGGTATAATCTGTCACACACAGTCCCAAGGATTTTATGGCATAAATTCAACTTGCCCTATATACTAACATTTTTCCCCACCTTAGAGGCCCAGAAAGTGTGACCTGGGGCTAGAGAGATAGTTCAGGGGTTATGAATACTTACTACTCTTGTAAAAGACTCAAGTTCAGTTCCCAGCACCCACAGGGCAGCTCACAACCATCTGTAAACTCCAGTTCCAGGGAACATAATGACTTCTTCTGCCCTCTGTGGGCATCAGGCACACATGTAGTGCACAGACATACATGTAAGCAAAAACACTCATAAACATAAATATGGGTGGGTGGGGGTATGACTTTCCATAAGGCCTCACAGTGGGCATTAATAAACACAAACTGAGTCCAATTCACATGTTTACCGACTATACCATACTGTCTATTGTTACACAGTACATACAGTCCAGCATTCCTGGCTCTTACCAGTTTCCACGAGTTCTATGGGTTCTGCTTCCAAGGAAATCTCAGGGGTTGAAGTTGTTTCCCGAGTTCGCTTCTGGGTTTGTCTAGAACTTACTGTTCCACCACGCCGCTTTCTTTGAGGGTTTCTCTAAGGTCATCAAGGGGGAAAAGAAGCAGTTGCATGAGCTCTAGACTTGACAGAGTTTCAGGAAGAGTAAAAAAGTCAACAGGGGAACAGTTTAACTTGTCCTTGTTTAAATTTTAAATCTCTGTGTAAATTAATCTGAGTTTCATAATAATAAAAAAAGATAATCAAATCATTTCTGGTTTGGGATTAGGACAGAATTTCCAACGTTTCTGAAATGGCCTTAAATACTACAGATTTATTTGAAGTGGCATTCTTAGAAATGCTGATCATAACATCAAATACTAGCCGGGCATGCTGGCACATGCCTTTAATCACAGCACTCAGAAAGCAGAGCTAAAAAAATACCAAAGATGTTATATGTCCTATAGTATATAAAACATTCAGTCAACTTTACTTTTTTTTTTTTTTGCTTTTTGAGATTGGGTTTCTCTGTGTAGCCCTGGCTATCCTGTAGACTAGGCTGGCCTCTGCCTTCCAAGTGCTTGGATTAAAAGTGTGTAACAACATGCCCAGCTGATTCACTATCTTTCTCTTTAAACATTTATCATATGCACGAATGCACTTGTACTTGTGCTACCATGCTTACAACATGAAGTCAGAGGACAGCTTTCAGCAATCAATTCTCTCCTTCTACCATGTGGAGCATGGGGATCAAGCTCATTGTCAGGCTCATTGGTAAGCACCTTACCTAATGAGCCATCTTGCCAGACCAAGATTAATTCTTTATATAAAAAAGTGTATCTATTTCATTAACATAGAATTTACCTTCATCTTTATAAACAGTAAAGTTACATTTATACCAAATTATTCAAAAGTAAACATGATTTATCAACAAACACTTGATCTACATGCACATCTACATTACTACCTGAGGTCATAAAAACTCCCCAAAGAAAAAAGTTCCAAGACACCTTACTCTAGAGCACAAGTGCTTCCAGACTCTGTCTTGCACTGAACCAGAGCTGACTCCAAGTTGTGACCAAAAGTGAAAATAAGTCATTTGTCATTATTTTTTTTCCTATTTTACATATATGAATATTTTGCCAGCATGCATGTCTTCTGTGTGCCACTTCTAGGCCTGTGAAGGCCAGAAGAGAGCACAAGACCTTCTGAATTGGAGTTACAATTCTGAGGTGCCACTGAACCCAGGTCCCCTGGAGGAGTAGCAAGTGCTCTTAGCCACATGCCTAGACCCATTTTTTTTTTTTTCTTTTTCCCAAGACAGGTTTTCTCTGTGTAGTTTTGTGCCTTTCCTAGAACTTACACTGTAGCCCAGGCTGGCCTCGAACTCAGAGATCCACCTGCCTCTACCTCCCAAGAGCTGGAATTAAAGGCATGAGCCACCACTGCCCAGCTTTTTTTTTTTTTTTCCCTCGTTTCTTTTGAGACAGGGTTTCTGTGTGGCTCTGGCTGTCCTGGAACTCTGTAAACCAGGCTGGCCTCAAACTCAGAGGAGTCAGTTCTCTCTTTTCACCATGTGGGTCCTGAGAATCAAATTTGTCAGAAAGGGCCCTTTATCAACTGAACCGTTTCACAGACCTATAAATAGCAGTTGATACATCTGTAAAGGCCAAAGACAAAAACAGAGGCCTTTCTTTGTCTCTCTACTCTTTTTAACTTTTGTTCTTTTTTAAAGTCTGAGTGCGTGCATGTATATATGCATACTATATGCATGCCTGGTGCCCACAGAGGCCAGCAGAAGGTGGCAGATCATCTGGATCTGGAGTTACAGGAGGTGTGAGCCACGTGGAACTGGAGTCCTCTGTACGAGTAGCATGTGTTTCCTAACCACCAAATTCATCTTTCTAGCCCTCAGATGTGAGACCATAGCTCTCATTAAACCTGGTGTTTACTTTTTCTCCTAGATTGGCTCATCAGTATGCCCTTGGGATCAAGCCTCCTCCTTCTCTAAGGACTGAAAATGTGTGCTACCCTGCCAGCTTTTATGTGGGTGATGGGGACCCAAATTTGGGTCCTCATTCTCACATAGGAAGCTGAGGCATCTCTGCAGCCCTAGAGTCTGATCTCACTATATAGTTGAGTATGGCCCTGAACTTGAAACTCTGATAATCTTGCCTCCATTACCAATGGATTATAGATGTATTTACTATTTACTTGGATTACACATAGGTGTATACCACAACAGATTATTTTCAGTTCTGCTGGGAAATGTAATGCAGGGCCTTTTGCATAAGCAATAGAGACACATTCTCAGCTGTTTTTATTTATCTTATTTTTAGAGACAGAGTTACTGTGTAACCCAGACTATCCTTAACTTTCAGTCTTTGTATCTCAACTTCTCATTTATCGGGAACTGGAGGCCAGTGCTGTAATATGTGGCTTATAGTCTTCTTTAATGTGCTGTAACAGACAAAATAGTTAACTCATGTTGGTAATAAAATTAACAAGAAAACTTACTGTACTCATTGTGCTCGCTGGCTTCAATCCACAGAAAAGGAAGTGATATACACCAAGGTTTATGGGGAGGTGGAATGTTCTCAATCTCTCATGCCCACTGAATACTCATCCTGTGGCTTACAATCTGGAGCCAATTAGATGTCCAGTATTTCCAAGTTCTGAAAAACAAAGATACCCACTTGATAAATGTTGCTATTCACACACGTACATACACCACACACAGAAAATTTACCAGTCTATCACCTGGATGCTTTGCTGAACATTTTATATAATTTGTACCTTTACCCTACATTCATTTTACGAAGAAATAATTCTCGAATATAGAACTGCCTATGTAATCCCAAAGTCTACTACCCAAACTATTACATCATTTTCTGCCCAAGATCCTTTTTGAACAAAAGGCTTCCTGTATTCTACCACTGAGCTATACTCCTGCAGACCTTCCTGACCTCCTTCCTGGTTGTTTCAAATGTAGAAAAACGATTAACTCTAGGAGAAAGACAAGTTTTAGCTGCTTAACTAAAATACATAAACCAACTCCTTAACAGAAGGAAAGGAACAGAGAGAGCTTCCTAAGCCAAGAAGTCTTCTTGTCTTGTTATTTCACCACCCTTCCAAGGATCTGAGGGACTAAGGAGAGAGCCATCTTTTGCAATTCAGACCATAGAATAGTCCCAGACCCGCTGTAATTCCTGGATTCCCATGTACATTTTTGCTTCTGGTTTTAGGAAGTATCTTATATATCCATGAAATGTGTGCTCACCCCATCTACCTCAAGGGCACATCTTAATTCAGAAGACTATAACAAAAATATCTTGCTGGGCAGTGGTGGTGCCCGCCTTTAATCCTGGCACTCAAGAGGCAAAGTCAGGTGTATCTCTGTAGACCAGCCAGGTCTACAGAACAAGTTCCAGGACAGCCAGGGCTACACAGAGACCCTGCCTCAAAACAAACAAACAAACAAACAAACAAACAAACAAACACCCCCATCTTTACAATGAGTTAGAGGTTCCCTGGATTAGAGTGCCTGCTGTGAAAGCAAGAGGGCCTGAGTTAAGCCTCTGCAACACCCACACAAAAGCTACGCAGGGCAGCAGGCCAGGAACCTCATAGCTTCACATTTAGTCAGACCCAGTTTCAAAAAATAAGGCAGAGGAGCCGGGCAGTGGTGGCATACCCTTAATCTCAGCACTCTGGAGGCAGAGGCAGGTGGATCTCTGTGAGTTCAAGGCCAGCCTGGGCTACAGACTGAGTTCCAGAAAAGGCGCCAAAGCTACACAGAGAAACTCTGTCTTGAAACACCACCCCCCAAAAAATGTAGAGGGCAATATAGGAAGACATTTGATGTCCTTCTTCCTTCTCTGGTCTCTACATGGGCAAAGACAAACACCCCCCAACACACACATGCAGAAGGGAAAGAAAGACCTGTCTGCGGAGTGCTGAGAAATGTGACGGACATATTTTGGCAGTTCCATTAGTCTCTTGCCTCATTTTATGATGGTTAGCCTCTATTCTAAGATACTCAGCATGGCTGCTACAGACACCCTGACCTGTATGCTTCTTACCAATCTGAAGCCGAGTCTCTTAAAAACCCAATAATTCATTACCATCACTAGGAGCTTTCTTGGAGTCTTTCACATTCCACACTACTGGTGACAATACCAACTCCATTCCAAATCTGGTTCTTCTCTTTCAGAGATAACAATGGCCGAGAGCTAGAGAACTCTATCTATGACAGGAGCCAGTCTTAGGAATCTATCTAGAGACTGAATTTGAGCAAATCCAGGCAGAAAAGGGCATCCATCAGATCAGCCTGAGGATGTAGATAGATATACCCTCACCAACCACAAAGGTTTCTGGATTATACAGATGACAGGTTGTCAGAATATTTACTTTCATGTTTAAGATGAGGTACTATCCAAGGACAATCTGTATGTCCTTCCGATTGGCCAGATTAAGGAAGTAAGTATTGTGATGAACACCATTTTTTTCTAAGAGATAAGGACGAGTAAGAGTAGTCACAACCCACAACCAATAAATACCACTTTTTTGTTTTGGGGGTTTGTTTTCTCTTCCAATGGTGGGGGAACCCAAGGTCTTAGCCATGCTCAACCACTGAGCTACTTCCCCAAGTTCTGAGACTATATTTGTATGTTGCAGGATATTTGATCACACTGTGAACCCCCAGTTTGAATTAACTGGCGCACACCTTTAATCTAAGAGCTTTCTGCTTGAATAATGCAAACAAGATTAAGTAAAGTCAACCATAGATCAAGAGGCAAAGCAAGAAACCAGCTGACAGGAAGTGAACATAAAAAAAAAACAGCAAGAGGAAGTCAGGAGGACAAATAAATAGACACACAGGAAGTAGAAGGGAGGGACACCGAGTCTGAGATGGTGAAGGAGAAAGGCCCCTTTTTGTGACGTTGGTGCAGGAGAAAGGTCAGCTGGGTGCTTTCTCTGCCTCTTTGAGCTAGCAGGCTTTCACCCCAGCAACTGGCTCCCGAGTCTTTACTGGTAAAATCGAATGATTGAGATTTAATGAAAAAAACGTGTGCCACGAACAGTTTTGCTTTTGAGAAAGGGTCTATGTACGAGTGGCTGGTCCAGAATTCTGACAATTCAGAAGGCTGATAAAAGGTGTGTGCCACCATGCCTGGCAGAGAATCTATACTCTAACTGCTATGCTAAGACCAAAATTTGAGGTATTCTAGAAGAAAATTGTAACGAACTCTTAATTCCTGTTTCCTACAACACAATCCTCCAGCACCATAACCTTAGCAAGGGCCCCACCATCCTTTAGTGCAAAGGAAGCCCTCAACTTCACAGGGCTTTATCGCCTTTCCACCTCCCCTAGTATTTTGCACATAACAGATACTCATGATAATTGATTGGAATGAGTAAATGACTTTGAGGGTGACAGTGTCCTTGCCATTAAAAGACTCAGGATGCCCGATGGTAATGGTGCACTCCTTTAATCCCATCACTCGGGAGGCAGAGCCAGGAGAATCTCTGTGAGTTGGAGGCCAGCCTGATCTACAGAGTGAGATCCAGGACATGCACCAAAACTACACAGGGAAACCCTATCTTGAAAAACAAAACAAGGGCTGGAGAGATGGCTCAGAGGTTAAGAGCACTGACTGCTCCTCCAGAGGTCCTGAGTTCAATTCCCAGCAACCACATGGTGACTCACAACCATCTGTAACGAGATCTGGTGCCCTCTTCTGGCCTGCAGTCATACACGCTGTATACATAATAAATAAATAAATAATAAATAAATAAATAAATAAATAAATAAATAAATAAATAGTGTCCTTCTACAAGTGTTAACTGGAAGACACAATTAACTATGATACTGTAAGCTTCTTAATTGTGGAAATGAACCTTAGATAGTCTGCCACGTTCAAATTAATGTGAAGTGGAGGGGAGTGAATGCTTGCAGTATCAGACCTGCCTAACTGTGGCTCGTAAGCAACTGAAGTAACTTTTGAAACTTAGTTCAGCTGGGTTCAATTTTCTGATTTTCCCCTGCTATTTCTCAAAGAAGCTGTGTACAGCAAACTCAACTTCCTATGGATAAAGTGTCCCTATTATATCAACACCACTGGAAGAAATGAGTCCAAACCAGCATTTTAAGTAGAACTGTATTTCACTTTTAGGCACCCTAGATGTCAACCCCTCACTCTAGGCTCTTTTCTATGACAGTGCCATTAACAGTTGGGAGGCAGAGACAGGCAGACCTCCAAGTTTGAGGCCAGTCTGATCTACATAGCAAGTCTGAGGCCAGATGAGGATACACAGTGAGATCCTATCTCAGAATAAATAAATTTAAAACTGTTGTATGTACACAGGAGAGGTACACATGTTATAGTGTGTAAAGTCAAGAGGATAAATTTGTGGATTTGGTTCTCCCTTCCACCTTTACAAGGTATCACTATTCTTGGTAGTCAACTTGACTACATCTGGATTTATTAAATCCCAAATGGCTTGCGTACACCTTCCAGGATTCTTTCTTATTAAATATTTGAATATTAAATCATTGACCCACTTCTAATCTAGATCTTTGAGGAGGGAAGATCCACCTTTTGTTTTGTTTTTCAAGACAGGGTTTCTCTGTGTGTAGCTCCGGCTGTCCAGGAACTCACTTTGTAGATCAGGCTGGCCTTCAACTCACTGAAATTCAAATGCCTCTCTCTGCCTCTTGAGTTCTAGGATTAAAGGTGTTTACCACCACTGCCAGGCTACACTTCCTAAATTTAATAAGCCTAACTCTAAATCAAACACCACAGACTCCACTGCATTTAGTATAGTTAGCAAAACAAAAGGTTGCCATTTTTCTTCCCAATGAAATTGCATTCAAATTATATAGCTCATTAGATGCTTAGAAAAAAATGACAGATAACTGAGAAAAATTGTAGGACGGTATTTTGATGTGAACCTAGGGCCTGGCACATGCCAGACAAGCGATCTACCACTTCGAGCTATCTATCTATCTATCTATCTATCTATCTATCTATCTATCTATCCATCCATGCATCCATCCATGCATCCATCCACCCACCCACCCACACATATCCACCCACCCACCCACACATATATTAGTTACATATGAGAATTTGAGTTCAGATCCCAGTATGTATCTATCTACCTACCTACCTACCTACCTATATATCAGTTATATATGAGAATTTGAGTTCGGATCCCAGTATCCATGAAAGAATGTGAGGCACGGCAGAGTGCTCACCTGTAAACCCTATGCTGTGTGTGTGTGTGTGTGTGTGTGTGTATGGGGGTGGTGGAGGTGAGACAGGAAGCCTGCTGAGGCTTGGAGACCTGGTCTCACGGAGTAAGATAGAGTGATAAGGCAACAACACTGCTCTCTGCAAGCATATATACCCTACCCCCCACAGAGAGAGGGAGAAGGAGGTTGACTCATTTGTCCTGAACTCATTCCACAGCCCGGTCACTTGTGATCCTCTTGCCTCAGGCCTCTTGAGTAGCTAGGATTACTGGCACAGGCCACTAGCTTGGCTTTTTGGGGGGAGGGGATGTTCAGATCTAGAGGGGAAAATGAATCCTTTCAATATATGTAAAATTATAGTCTCTATCAGGTAAACAAAGGGACTTGGGAGTAGGATTCTTACAGGACTATCAAGTGAGTTCAAGGCCAGTCTAGACAACTTAGCAAGACCCTGACTCAAAATAAAAAAGTGCCGGGCGGTGGTGGCGCACACCTTTAATCCCAGCACTTGGGAGGCAGAGGCAGGCGGATCTCTGTGAGTTCAAGGCCAGCCTGGTCTCCAAAGTGAGTTCCAGGAAGGGCGCAAAGCTATACAGAGAAACCCTGTCTCGAAAAACCAAAAATAAATAAATAAATAAATAAAAGTAAAAAAGTAAAATGAGGAGTTGGTGAGATACCACAGCAGTAAAGCACTTGCTATATGCAAGCCCTGACAGCTTCATTCAATCCGAGGTAGCAACATCAGTGGAAGGAAAAACTGACTTCAAAAACTTGTCTTCTTACTACCAAACATACATCATGGCACCTGGGTGCCCTAGACCCACATCATATTCACACAATAGTGAAAAAGACCTGAGATGTAGCTCAGTAGTAGAGTAACTTGCCTAATGTGTGTGAGACCCTGGGTTCAATCTCCAGTCCCAACAAAAGAATATCGTTTGACTGTTCAGGGCTGCAGCAAACACTATATACTCACCGAGAAACCAACTTTCCTTGGAATAACAACTAAGTAAGCAAGCAAATAAAAAACTAAAACTGCCGGGCGGTGGTGGTGCACGCCTTTAATCCCAGCACTCGGGAGGCAGAGCCAGGAGGATCTCTGTGAGTTCGAGACCAGCCTGGTCTACAAAGTTCCAGGAAAGGGGCAAAGCTACACAGAGAAACCCTGTCTCGAAAATCAAAAATAAAATAAAACTAAAACTGTTCTTGAGACAAGTCTCAAGTACCCTTGACTAGCCTCAAGCCCAAATAGAGCCCAAGATGACCTTAAATTCCTGATTCATCTGACTCTACCTCTGAAGGACTGGAATTACAGGCACTCTTCAAAGTATTAGGAAAATACTTATAAAAGGATAAATAATCATATCTGGGAAATATAGTCAACTAGCCCGGCGACGGTAGCGCACATCTTTAACCCCAGCACTCGGGAGGCAGAGGCAGCCAGATGTCGAGTTCGAGGCCAGCCTGGTTTCCAGAAACCCTGTCTCAAAAAACCAATCCCACCACCCCAAAAAAGTAGTAAACATTGTTTTAAAAAAAGGAAGCTTTCATAAAATTATAATTGGAAGCTCATGTTTATGTAATACCAAGGCCAGCAAGACATCTTTCCACTCATTTCGTATCGAACTCACATGTAAACCCGAACCCAATTGCGTCTCCATCCATTTAAGAACAAAAACAAAACCCTGGGTGTATATGGGGTGGGGTTTCCCTCTCACCACTGCCAGGAACTAGAGTTAATCTGCGTCCAAGAGCAGGCTGAAAGACCTCGGACTCTCCCGTCTTTATGGACCTCAGTCTCCCTCACCCACTTGGGCAACCTAAACTGAGCACCAGACTGCAGAACTGAAAGCTCAAAGCGCCCACAGGCATAGACAAGTAAAAAACAAAAGCAGAAACGCCCATATCTGGACTCGTCCCTCTCGAGTCAAAAGGTAGACAATGGCGTCCACTGCAAGTGTTTAGGATTAAGGATCAGGTTGAGTTTCCTATTCCTGTGTACAGATGTACCAAGGAGGGAAGGACCCCAGAGGGTGCAGCAGGGCTGGGACAAATCGCAATCGCACGCTTCACCAACCATGGGGAGGGTAGAACGCGGCTCCTGGAAGCCCAAACCCCATCCAGTTCCGAGGCCCGCAAGCGTCCACAACACTCTCCTAGCTTAGACAGGGCCCGCCACGCGGCTTGGGTGCCCGAGCAAACTCGCAGGCCCCAAGAAGGCGGGGCGGCGGCGACAACACACAATGGCCGCGTCGTCAGCGGGGAACAAAAACCTTGCTCAGGTCCTCTCCAATCGGCCCGCCCAGCCAAAAAAAGTGACCTTGGACGCCTTCTCCCCCTCCTTGAACCCTAGTTTCCCTTCCTGGTTTGCAAAAGAGGTCCGGTCAGCCAGGCCGCGGGTGGGCGAGCGGCGCCTCAGATCGAGACTTCCCTATTTCCGACGCGAATGCGGCGCCGGGCTCCTACATCCGCGCGCTCTCTGGGGCCGAGTAGGCTGAGGGGGCCCGACCCCGAGAAGCGCGGTTCCGGGCTGCCCGAACGATCCGCGACTGCCGGGCACCCACTCCGCTGCAGGTCGAGAAGCCGCCCGCACTGCCCTGACTTTCCGCCTCCATCCTGCGAAGCCGAGTCTTACTTGGAGCTGGTGTGACCAGGCAGACGCCACAGCCAACGCGCTCGAGCAAAGACGTCCCTCCTCCACCAGCCGCCGAGGAGACCCGCTCAAGCAAGACTGCACCGCCTCACCGAGACCCACTTCCGCTCGGCCGGCCCCCGGCCCGCCCTTCGCAGTCCCCATTGGCCTCCGCCGCCCTGACTCCCGTGCTTTACCGGTTTAGGAGGCTCGTTTGCAATTCTATTGGGTAAGAAAACCATCTATTACCACTTTGAAATGCACCTTCTTCCGGCCACGCCCCCACTGGCGTGCCAGAGTTCCACCTCTCGCGAGAGCACCGCCAGTCACGCTCCTCCCGCGAGAACTTGGCGGAGTCGTTGCTGGGGCGCCGCGCGAGCTTGGCTACTGGCTCTTGAGACGGCCCCGGGCTTCTGATTTGGTTTATTGGCTGCGGCTAACATTAAACAGTGATCCTCGCCAGTCATTCCATGCCCATCTCTGTTTCCCCGGTCGTTGCCGAGACCTACGGGAAACTGGCCCAAGGCCCCAATTTTCTGGTGATCCACAGGCAACGCCGCCTGGGTCCGCACCCCAAATGCCAGGCTCTGAGTGGGCGTGTCGGCTCCCTGGACTCTACATTGGTCCGGTCCGGAGCCCGGGGGGGTGGGCGGGCGTTCAGCCTAGGTATCTGGGAGGCCTAACTGGAGGAAATTTGAGGACTAGACGGGGAGAGAACATCCAGCTAGACATTTTGTGTGCCAAAGCTGGGGGAAAGGAGAGATGTGCGTACCCAGGAAACATCGGGCTAGCTGCCCAGTGTGTCAGGAGCAGAGGCGAGGGGTGAGGAAGGCAGAACTCGGCAGAGAACACAAATGCCAAGTACTCACTGGGACTGTACTGTCCTACAGAAGAATGGCCTGAGAAGAACCGGCCTCGGGAAAGGCCAGGGCCTGGAATTCTTGGGTCTTGCGACATCTCATATTACAGAGTCCCTTCTACCTGATTCTGAAAACCAGCACCATGGCTTTAGGCAAGTCTCAGCACTTTCACACCTGGTACCAGGGATCCGTTTTACCTACTTCTGAGAAAGAATGTGAGGGCTAACAGATAATACAAGTGCAGACTAGGCCCTCCTGGAGTGCAGCAAAACCGAATGGTACTAGAAAAACAATGCTGTTTTTCTTGGAGCACGTGTCTCTGAGCTAGGTTGTAGCACGGGTTTAGCAACTAGAAAACGGATCGATGGATCGATAGATAAATAGCAACTAGAAAACAGATGGGTGGAGACCCTCAGGCTATATGAAGATTGTCTTAAATGTAGTTGAGTTGCTTCTGTAGGGTGTAATCAACCTGGAAGGTTGATTCTCATATGAGAATGACAAAGCAGATCAAAACCGAACGTTAATGTTTGTGCTATCACAGTCTGACATTTTATGTAATTACAAGGGAGTTTATGTCTATCAGACATACATCTGACTCCAGTGTAAAATGTGTGTTTGGATGTTTTGAGCATATTTTTCCAACTGTTATAACTGGAATAAAGTGAATTTACAAGTTTAAGAGAAATGTAGGCATTTCTAATTTTGAATATTTAATAAGGCATGGGAGATCAAAACAGGAACAATACACCTTGCAAGTTAATGGGAGACCAAAACAGGAACAATAGACCCTTGTAGGTTAAGGGGTGTTTGCATAAGACAGTTAAGAAAAAGTTCCTGCCTGGTGGAGGTGGTGGCACACATCTTTAATTCCATTACTCAGGAGGCAGAAGCAGACGGATCTCTGTGAGTTTGAAGCCAGCCTGGTCTACAGAGTGAGTTCCAGGACAGCCAAAGCTATGCAGAGAAACCCTGTCTCAAAAAACCAAAAAAAAAAAAAAAAAAAAAAAACAACAACAAAAAAAAACCTACTTGTCCTATGTTAAGTCCTTGCAAGTTAAGGTTTCTATTTGTTGTTGCTTTTTTCCAATTTAACTTTTTTTTTAATTGATTCTTTGTGGATTTCACATCATGCATCTCGATCCCCCTCATCTCCCCGCTCCTTCCAATCCTCCCTCTATGTACCCTTGCAAACTCCCCCAACTCCCAGGATAAAACAAATTTAAAAGAGGGGAAAAAAAAGAAAAGAAAAATTTTGTCGTGGAAGCTGAAGTCACACAGTGAGTCTCAGTAAACCCTTTAGTCCTTATATCATTACTTGCAAGTGTTCATTGCAATGAGTTATTGGTCTGGTTCAAGGCCTCTGATTTTTGCTATATGGTAGAAACTGGGCTGTCATTGGAGCTCCTCTTGGATATCTGTTGTCCTGTGTCATGGAGATCCTGCAACTTTGGGTCAGCAGGACCAGCACCTTTACGTGCTCCCACAGATCATAGATGAGGCAGATGATGGGATGGGCCAACTCATAGCCCTGGGTCTGGGTCTGGATGGTTGCTGGGCTGGTCAGCCCCCTCAGCTCTCCCTCATCCTCACCACCAGGGTTAGAACTCTTCAGCATCACCCTGGCTAGCCTAGCCTATGTAGTAAGCAGCAAGGGGCTGGGCTTACAGGCTGCAGCAAGTAAGCATCTCTCATGTCCTAGGGAGGGACACCACCAGAGAAAGATACAATGAAGAAGAAGAAACAGGAGTAAGGATATACATCACGTGAATGGGGCTTGTAAGCAGTTTACATCAGCTCTAAGAAACAGGAACTTATTTTTTTTTGGTTTTCGTTTTTTTCGAGACAGCATTTCTCTGTGTAGCTTTGCGCCTTTCATGGAACTCACTCTGTAGCCCAGGCTGGCCTTGAACTCACAGAGATCTGCCTGCCTCTGCCTCCCGAGTGCTGG